ACAAGTACAAGCCATTGCTAAGAAAAATTAAGAACACTCAAACAGAGATATACCATGTTCATGGATTGCTTAAATGTCAATTCTCCCCAAATAAGGGTGACCAATCATCCCAGTTTGCCTGGAACTGAAGGAGTTCCCAAGATGCAACGCTATCATTTCAAAAGCCAGGGCATTCTTGGGCAAATCAGGATGAGTTTCTTTTCTAATTTCATTTTTTTAAATTTTATTTATTTATTCATGAGAATACACAGAGAGGAGAGAGAAGCAGAGACACAGGCAGAGGGAGACGCAGGCTCCATGCAGGGAGCCTGATGTGGGACTCGATCCTGGGTCTCCAGGATCACACCCTGGGCTGAAGGCGGCACTAAACCGCTGAGCCACCGGGGCTGCCCTCTTTTCTAATTTCAAATTGATCTATGGTTTCAACACAATCCCAGCTGGATTTTTTTTTTTTAAGAAATTACCAGATTGATTCTAAAATTTATGTGGAAAAACAAAGAATCTATAGTAGCCAAAACAATTTGGAGGAAGAACAAAATTAGAGTGTTCACAATATCTGATTTCAAGTTTTACTATAAAGTACAATAAGACAGTACATTATTGGGCAGCCCAGGTGGCTCAGGGGTTTAGCGCCGCCCTCAGCCCAAGGCCTGATCCTGGAGATCCGGGATCGAGTCCCATGTCAGGCTCCCTGCATGGAGCCTGCTTCTCCCTCTGCCTGTGTCTCTGCTTTTCTCTCTCTCTCTCTCTCTCTCTCTCTCTCTGTATGTCTCTCATGAATAAATAAATAAAATCTTTAAAAAAATAGTATATTATTGATAAAAGGACACAATATCAATGGAAACAGACCCCCATATATATATTCAATAGACTTTCAACAGACAATTCGATGAAAAAGGCTAGTTTTCTCAACGAATTGTCCTTGAATAATTAGACATCCATATGTAGAAAACTGAACCTCACCCACCATATCATTCACAAAAATTAACTTGAAATGGATCATAGACCTAAATGTAAAACAATAAAACTTCTAGGAAAAAAAAAAAAAACAGGAGAAAATTATTAGGTTAGGCAAAATTTATAAAGGATACAAAAAATATGATCCATAATGGAGAAAAAAGGATAAATTAGATTTTTTTTTAAAAGATTTTATTTATTCATGAGAGACACAGAGAGAGAGAGGCAGAGATATAGGTAGAGGGAGGAGAAGCAGGCTCCATGTAGGGAGTCCGATGTGGGACTCAATCCCAGGACTCTTGGATCACGTCCTGGGGCAAAGGCAGACGCTCAACCACTGAGCCACCCAGGCATTCCAAGGATAAATTAGATTTAATCAATACTTAAAATTTCTCTCTAAAAGATGCCACTGAAAAACTACATAGGTAAGCCACATTCTAGGCTGTATTCACAAAACATATATCTAACAAAGGACTGGTATTCAGGGTATATAAAGAACTCCTAAGATGCAATAATAATGAAATAATGAATAATAATAAGATAAAAATACTCTCCAGGGGGAATGCCAGGGTGGTTCAGTGTTTGAGTATCAGCCTTCAGCTCAGGTCGTGATCCCAGGGTCCCAGGATCAAGTCCCACATTGGGCTCCCTGCATGGAGGCTGCTTCTCCCTCTGCCTATGTCTCTGCCTCTTTCTTTGTGTCTCTCATGAATAAATAAATAAATAATCTGTAAAATAAATAAATAAATAAGACACAGGGACACCTGGGTGGCTCAACGGTTGAGAGTCTGCCTCCAACTCAGGGCGTGATCCCGGGGCCTGGGGATCAAGTCCCACATCGGGCTCCTAGCAGGGAGCTTGCTTCTCCCTCTGCCTATCTCTCTCTCTCGCTCTCGCTCTCTGTCTCTCATGAATAAATAAATAAGATCTTTAAAATAAAATAAAACAGACACACGTAGCACAGTACCTGGTACATGAATGAATTAATGAAGGAAGTATGTAGAAAGAGCCACGGGCATTTTTATTCAATGATAACAGATGGAAGGCCATGCATGCTAGGGATCAAAGAGCAGGGATACCTCAGCTATAAATTTCAGGAGAAAGGAGCAAACTGTTTAACCAAGTGGCCTTCCCCCCCTTACCCCCCGGGAGGCCATCATTAACCTTTCACCTCCCCAGGAGGTGTGGTCCCAGAGTAACAACCCATTCAACCAAACAAATACAGGTGTCCCCCCCACCCCTAACCACCTGCAGAGGTTCAACTTGCTGAGCAGATATTTCCCTCCAGCTTCCAGAGTCATCCTTTTAATTTGTTAATGTCACTTGCTTATTAAAAACAAAAAAGACTGAGTAGCGGAGCACACAAGAAGACTCAGCCCCTGGTCATCAGGCTAAAGATCCTACATCCCTCTTTAGGGGTAGGTTTAGGGGTATGTTCTCAACTTGGGAACTATTTTTCTCACCAGAGGGAAGTTGAGGTGGAGAGTAAAGAGGAAAAGAAGAGGCACAAAACATGGAGAAAACATAAACTCCTCCAGGCCTTAAATTCAGGTGTGCACCTGAAACTCAGGTCACTCTTGTCTGCTCAACCAGGGCATTCCCTCCTCATATCTTATGAGGTAACAGACCAAATTGATCCTCTGTGTCTTTTGCTAGGATTTTGCTCTTTGCCACAAAGTTAACAATATCTACAAGAGTGCAATGTTGCTCTTTCCTTACCTTCCAGGGAGCCCATTTTAGCTTTTGAAAGTCAGTGCTGCCAGATTCAGGAAAGCAAGTGAACAGAAACTTCCAATTTCTTTAGGGAAAGGCAACGAGCTCCTCTGGCCTTCTCCACATTCCGGGACTCTAAGATGGCCTAAGAGCTGCCTTAATGTCTCCTCTCCTTTGATCTGACTTAAGGACCCCAAGTTAGACTAGTAATTATCAATTCTATTCAAAATAAACTTCTTCCCCATATGTGTCCATTGGCCTGCCTCAAATAAGATCTATCTCCATTTTGCTTTTCAAATTGTCCTAATAGATGGTTTTGTACCAATTCCAGCTAAATGTCCAAATTCTCATCAGGCCTCGGTTTAAAAAACAAACAAACAAAAAAAATAAAAATAAAAAACAAACAAACAAAAAACAACCCTCAAAATATTCCTTCTAAGAGGGACACTTGGGTGGCACAGTGGTTGAGCATCTGTGTTTGGCTCAGGGCTGAGATCTTGGGATCCAGGATCCAGGATCAAGTCCCACATCGGGCTCCCTGCATGAATCCTGCTTCTCCCTCTGCCTATGTCTCTGCCTCTGTGTGTGTGTGTGTGTGTGTGTGTGTGTCTCATGAATAAATAATAAATAAATATTTTTTAAAAATTCCTTCAAAAAAAAATTCCTTCTAAGAGACCCAAGTCAGAGGTGATGGCCCAGCATAAAGACCACTGTTATTGCACACCCCATAGAATACAGTGTCCATAGTACCCTGAGTTGTACAGTGAGGCAGCATTATCTAGTGGGTGGAGAACTGAAGCACCTGGTAACATGTCTTCTTTGTCTACTACACTGTTCAGATGGCAGCAAACAGGGCCGAGTCAGGAACCACCACTCACCACTGCTTGCTGGGCCCCAGACGGTGGCATCATGGCTGCCTCTGGCTTAGCATGAGTGTTCTCTGTGTCACCCTCAGGTCCAGACCCCCAACTCCATCCTCCCTCTCTGCAACACTCTATACTCACCCTTTGAAAGGGAGTGGGGGAACCAGAGAATGCAACCACTAATTCAAACCAGAAAAACGGAGGGTACGGAACTGAAAAGAGTTTTTCATCCAGCCGGTCTGAAAGACCCCTTCCTGGTGAGAATTTTGGCTTGGCTATTTGGCTCTCTGCTTTCAGAGTCAGAAACCTATTTTCTGTACTAAGTCCTGCAAGTAAAAGGAGACGAAATGTGTATGTGGCTTTGCCAATGAGCTCTCTTTGCTTTTAACATAAGAAAAAGTGGGGCAGGGGCACCAGACAGAATGGAAATGCATGGAGATGAAAAGCCAGGGTGCAGCCTCACTGGTGGGGTTGTTGAGACATCTCTAAGCAGATGATACCGAAGTGCCTCTTGCTACCCTCCCCTCTATCCCATGTCCCTTCTCCCTGGGGACTAAAATAAATGTGTTTTATTTGCTCCATCTGAGGAGGAGGATTTATGGGCTGAGAGAGTGAGGGGTTCCTGGGTAAGAGTCAAAATTCAGGGCTGGAACAACTGGTGACTTGTCGACAACACACCATCAAATGGTCGTCACAACCCCACAAAAATGCAAACAAACCAGACTGTTGCAGGGAGTGGACATGCCCTCCTGGCTTTAGCGGTGGGTGTCAAAGACACTTAATGGTGCAGTGGTTTCAAATGAAGCTATTTCACACAAGTAAAAAGTTGCTGTCTTCTCACTAGCGGGCTCTCTGAAAAGACTGAAAAGAAGGAATTTTCTCTATTTAGCTAATGGGACGGGATGTGTTCAGAGCATCATTTGTCATTTCTTTTCCCCAAGAAGTTAATGACCTCAAACCTTCACCTAGGCCCTGGGCCGAGACCAGCACACCACCCAGTACAGAAGGGCATGGAAACCACAGGCTGCTGTCCGCTCCAGGACTGTAACTTTTTAAAATAAATTAAAGTAAATAAATAAATAAGAAGGGAAAGAAAGAAAGAAAGAAGAAAAGAAAAGAAAAGAAAAGAAAAGAAAAGAAAAGAAAAGAAAAGAAAAGAAAAGAAAAGAAAAGAAAAGAAGCAACCAGTTCAGCGGTCCCCTTCCTAAGCGCCCCCAGGGCGCGGGGGGCAGAGGCCTCCACCTCCTGACCCCAGGCCCGTGCCCCGAGCTCCCCGAGCATCCCTTTTCTAAGGAGAAAGTTCCTTCGCCCAGGAACCTGCAGGCTCCCCCGGCTGGAGCGTGGAGACCAGGAGGCATCCAGGCGGCGGCCCAAGGCGGCGGCCAGGTGGCTCCGGGGCCCGGCCGGCCCACCCGCCCCCTCCTCCGCCGGCCCCCGAGGCCTCTCCCGCCCGGGCCCCGCACTCACCCACCGCCCGGATGCGGAAGCCGCGCGGGGGGCGCAGCGCCCGGCGGCCCCAGGCGTCGCGCAGCACCTGCAGGCTGGCGGGAGGCGCGTGCACCAGCAGCACCCCGCGCGGCAGCCAGCCCTGGAAAGCCAGCCGCGAGGCGGCGCGCGCCAGCCGCGAGTTCCAGAAGCAGCGCGCGTTGGCGCGTCGGAAGGCGCGGAAGACCGCGCGCCCGCCCGGCTCCTCGGCGCCCGGCTCCTCGGCGCCCGCCGCCTCCGGCGCCTGCAGCCTGCATAGCACCAGCGCCAGCGAGCCCGGCGCCAGCTGCACCGGCCGGGCCATGCCGCCGCGGGAGGCCGGGGCCCCAGCCTGGCGCACGGTCCGGCGCGGCGGTCGCGCAGCCCCGGGGGCCCGGGCGCCGCACGCCCGGCGGGAGGGATCGGCCGACTGCGCGCGCGGCGCCGGCTGCCGGGGGAACGGGCTCCGGGGGGCGGGGCCGGCTGCGCCCGGGAGCTCGGGGGCGGAGGGGGGCGCAGGGGGGGCGGGCCCGCGGCCGTCGGCTGCCGGGGGAGCGGGCTCCGGGGGGCGGGGCCGGCTGCGCCCGGGAGCTCGGGGGCGGAGGGGGGCGCAGGGGGGGCGGGCCCGCGGCCGTCGGCTGCCGGGGGAGCGGGCTCCGGGGGGCGGGGCCGGCTGCGCCCGGGAGCTCGGGGGGGCGGGGGGGGCGGGCCCCGCGGGGGCTCTTCCAAGCCCTCGGGGAGCCCCGCGGCTCCCGGGAGCCTCCTTCAACCGCGGCGCGAGCGGCAGGGCCAGCAGCCCCCAGAGCTGAGAGGACCGGGGTGGCCGCCGTCGTCCCGGCTTCGGGTCGCCCCTGGTGAGCGAGGCCGCGAGGAACAGTCTGCGGGTGTCAGGGGCCTCGCGGGGGCCGGGAGGCAGTAGACCCAGGTTTGGGTCTGGGTCTTCTCCTAAGCTGTCTTGCTCTTTACTTCCTCTCTCTCTGAGCCTCAGTTTACTGTCCTGCAAAATGAGGAATTAGAGGGGCGCCTGGGTGGCTCCGTCGGTGAAGCGTCTGGCTTTGACTGAGGTCATGATCCCGGGTCCTGGAATCGAGCCCCGATCCTGCTCCTGCTCAGCGGGGAGCCTGCTTCTCCCTCTCCTCTGCTGTTCCTCCTGCTTGTGCTGTCTGGCGCGTTCTCTCTCTCAAGCACAGAGATAAAATCTTTAAAAAAAAAAAAGAAAAGAAAAAAAAAAGGAGTTGGAACTGAATTCTAAGAACTTTCTTCCATCCGTGACTCCGAGGTTCTAGGCTCTGGGCCGGCCCGGGGTAACAGAGGTGAAGGGTTCCAGGGGTGCTCCCCCCACTGGCGAGCGCAGTGATGAAGTCCGTGGGATTCAGCCTTGGGTTGGATCTGGGCGTTCGGAAAAGACTGTGAAACCGTCTTGCCCAGGGGGCTCCCCGGATCAAAGGCAGAGGGACTTGTGATCGGTCAGGCCCACTGTGCGAGGGCCTCGAAGCAACGACGTCGAGTTCCCATGCTGGGGGACCGAGGCTGGAACTCTGCCTGGGGCACTGGATGAGGGCTCCTGGAGGAAAGAATAGGAGAGATGAGAGGTTATTACTATTACTGTTGTTCGTTATTACTATTAGAAACTGACCCTAGTAGAGGAAGCACAGGTGTTTGGCAAGACCTGGGGGTCATTCCATACTTCCTGTTCCCTCAGCTCATCAGTGAGCAACCATAATAATTCGAGAATATGTGCCCTGCCTCCTCCTGAGTCATCATCACAATAAATGATAGATGATTCTATTAAATAATGATAGCTAGCATTTACTGAACATGGTATGCTGGAGGCATTAATTTCACAACCCGGTGTTAACTACTGTTAGTATCGTTGTATTTTTTAGAAATGAGGAAACCACAGCCTGTGTTAGATTAAGAAGTGCATCCTGTGGGGGCGCCCGGGGGCTCAGTTGGTTAAGCATCTTCCTTTGGCTCCGGTCATGATCTCAGGGTCCTGGGATTGAGCCCCACCTTGGGCTCCCTGCTCAGTGGGCAGTCTGCTTCTCCCTCTCCCTCTGCCTCTCCACCTGCCCTACCTCTGTTCATGTGCTCCCTCTTTCTCCTTCTCTCAAATGAATAAAATCTTAAAAGAAAAAAAAATAGTGCATCCTGATCACACAGATAGTAAGAGACAGAGTTAGACAATTACCAATCAGGGTTCCCTATGACAAATAAGTCTGACACAATTTTTTTTTCTGACACAATTTTTAATTCAAATAAGCATGCAAACCTGAGACAGCCTTCCCACATCTGAATTCTGACTCTGGTGGAGATGGATGGATGGATAAATACAGCAGAGAGCCTAAATGAACTAAACTCCTATGTCTAGAGAAGCTCCATGGGGAGGACAAAGTTTCTTCCACTGAGTTCTCTCTATCATAGCCCTAACCTTGCAAGATCAAGGATGCGTTTGCTATATTTCCCATCCTGGAGAACTGTGGCTTATCTCTGTATCTAACATAGTGTCTTTTCCATTTTTTTTTAAAGATTTATTTATTTATTTATTCATGATAGATGTAGAGAGAGAAAGAGAGAGGCAGAGACACAGGAGGACGGAGAAGCAGGCTCCACACCAGGAGCCCAACATGGGACTCGATCCCGGGACTCCAGGATCGCGCCCTGGGCCAAAGGCAGGCGCCAAACCGCTAGAGCCACCCAGGAATCCCCTCTTTTCCATTTTAAGAAGGATAATAATACTTCTCATTTACTCTCAGCACACTCCGTGCCTGGAGCTATACTAAGGGTCTTACATGTGTGATCTAATTTTATCCTCAAAATTGACCCTCTGAAAGGGGTAATGTTATTAAGCCCCATCTTCCACAAGAAAAACAAACTTAGAAAGGGGGTTGGGGTGTGCCTGGGTGGCTCAGTCAGTAAGAATCCAACTCTTGATCTTAGCTCAGGTCTTGATCTCAGAGTAGTAAGTTCAAGCCCCGTGTTGGTCTCCATGCTGGGCGTAGAGCCTACTAAAAAAAAAAAAAAAAAAAAGAATAAATAAAGAAAGAAAGAAAGAAAATTTAAAGAAAATAAAAAGAACTAAAAGCTTAGAGAGCTTAGGTTATTTGCCTATAAGGACAAAGCTAATGGACAATCAGACAGAGATCCCAACATTGTCCACACACCTGGCTAGGCGGGGAAGCCAGAAGACCACACCCTCACCAGACCTGTTGCCTGGTCTGAAAAATTGTCCTGAGCTTGATTCTTACTGTCAGGTAGACCAGGCTTTGAGATCTGAAGGTCTGAAATTATGAGGTAGAACTGTCTTACTGTAGAGACTTTCATTCATATTTGTGACATTTCCATTATCATTTTACTTATGCTAGTCCAGTTAACAAAAGAATAAGGAAGAGTGTAAGGAGAAAAATTTTAAATTACAGCCAAATATGTATCCACTTGTTTTCCCAAAGAATCAGCTACCTCACAAATATCCCGAAACTCCTAACAAATGGAACGTTTGATCTTAAGAGTTCATGGAAAAATGAAGACCTCCAAGCTAAATGGCCAGTAATTATATGGCAAAACTGTAGTTTGTTTCTCTAAACAGAAACTTTTTTTTTTTGAGTAAACAGAAACTTCTCAAGAGCTTTCGTCTTTGTGATCTCTGAAGACCAAACAGAGAAACATTTTTATTTTTTAAAAAGGATTTTTTGGGAACGTCTGGGTGGCTCAGCGGTTAAGCTCCTGCTTCCGCCCAGGGCGCGATCCTGGAGTCCCAGGATTGAGTCCCAAGATCGAGTCCCACATCAGGCTCCCTGCATGGAGCCTGCTTCTCTCTCTGCCTATGTCTCTGCCTCTCTCTGTGTGTGTCTCTCATGAATAAATAAATAAAATCTTAAAAAAAAAGATTTTTAAAATTCATTTGAGAGAGAGCACAAGCAGAGGAGAGAGTCAGAGGGAGAGGCAGACTTCCTGATGGGCAGGCAGCCCAATGCAATGTGGGCCAATCCCAGGACCCTGAGATCATGACCTGAGTCAAAGGCAGATGCTTAATCATCTGAGCCATCCAGGTGCCCCCAGAAACATTTTTAGAAGACAGATTTGGTATCATTCTCCACTTTAAAGAGGCACACAGTAGTCAAACTAAAAGCTATACTTAAAAGTCTCAAAGGGATTTTTAATTTTTTTTAATTTTCAATGGAGTCTATGCCTGAGAAAGGACAAAGTAATTCTAACACTATATACAAATCTAAACAGCATATTATGCAATTGTTTAAAAAGATTGAGACAAAAAAAAGATTGAGACAAAATTTTATGCAGTGACTGATACAATATCCCAGATATGTTTTTTTAAGTTAATTTTTTTAGTAATCTCCATACCCAATGTGGGGATCAAACTCATGACCCTGAGATCAAGAGTCACATCCTCTTCTAAGTCAGACAGACACCCCCAAAATATATTTTTAAGTAAAAAAGAAAGGTTGACCCACTACTTGCATTTTAAAAATGGGCATTTAAAAATGTGGCTGGAGAATCTCTGGAAGGGTACCTAAGAAGCTGGTGATAATAGTGGTTACCTCTAGAGAGAGGAATGAGGAACTGGGTAAAAGGAAGGCTTATTTTTCACTGTGTATTATCATGTGCAGATACTTCTTGTTCAAAAAATACTTTCAAAAACATATCAAGAAAAAAAAACATATCAGGACATTAAGAGATTAGCTCTGGTCATTTTGAGAAATAGGATTACAACTGTCCTATTTATTCCCTCCAAAGTAAATAGTTACTAATGAGTTACCTCATTTTTCTCCTCTCCTATTTCTGTGTGATCCCTCTCTTGCTCACCTTATCAGGCCTAAAATTCCTGGCCAGAAAAAAAAAGAAAAAAAAATTCCTGGCCAGAAATTCCTGCCCAGATAATCACACTTTAGAAAAGATCATGTCTCCAAAGGCACTGTTAAGGGCATATACGTTGCCTCTTCCATTATCACATCTTTGTGAAGATTTATGGAGTTCATCCAATTTGCTGTTGACTTCAAAATTACAGTGGCCTAAAAAAAAAAAAAAACTACCCAAAAAAGGTACAGTGGCCTTTCATGGGACAGAACATAGGATCTCTAAAGAGCTTTTGAGCTTCAGAACCACTGAGGATGATGAGATGGCTTGTCCTTGGGGGTGTGTGGGTGGTTCAGTTGGTTACAAGTCTGATTCTTGAGGGATCCCGGGGTGGCTCAGTGGTTTGGCGCCTGCCTTTGGCCCAGGGTGTGATCCTGGAGTCCCAGGATCGAGTCCCACATCGGGCTTCCTGCTTGGAGCCTGTTTTTCCTCTGTCTGTGTCTCTGCCTCTGTGTGTGTGTGTGTCTCTCATGCATAAATAAATAAAA